CCAATTTGGATACCTTTTATTTCTCTTTGTTGTCTGATTGCTGTTGCTAGGACTTCTAATACTATGTTGAACAAGAGTGGTGAGAGTGGGCATCCTTGTCATGTTCTTGATCTCAACGGGAAGGCTGCAAGCATTTTCCCATTGAGGATGATATTTGCTGTGGGTTTTTCCTAGATAGATTTGATGAAGTTCAAGAATGTTCCCTCTATCCCTATACTTTAAAGCATTTTAATCAGGAACGGATGCTGGATTTTGTCAAATGCCTTTTCTGCATCAATTGAGAGGACCCTGTGGTTCTTCTCTCTTTTCTTATTGATTTCTTCTATCACACTGATTGATTTGCGAATGTTGAACCATCCTTGTAGCCCAGGGATGAATCCCACCTGGTCATGGTGGATAATCTTTTTAATGTGCTGTTGGATCCTGTTTGCTAGGATCTTGTTGAGAATCTTAGCATCCATATTCATCAGTGATATTGGTCTGAAATTATCCTTTCTGGTAGGGTCTTTGCCTGGTTTGGGGATCAGGGTAATGCTGGCTTCATAGAAAGAGTCTGGAAGTTTTCCTTCTGTTTCAATTTTCTGAAACAGCTTCAGGAGAATAGGTGTTATTTCTTCTTTGAAAGTTTGGTAGAATTCCCCAGGGAATCCATCAGGTCCTGAGCTCTTGTTTTTTGGGATGTTTCTGATCACTTCTTCAATCTTGTTACTAGATATTGGTCTATTTAGGTTGTCAATTTCTTCCTGGTTCAATTTTGGGAGTTTATAGTTTTCCAGGAATGCATCCATTTCATCTAGGTTGCTTAGCTTATTGGCATATAACTGTTGATAATAACTTCTGATGATTGTATCTACTTCCTTGGTGTTAGTTGTGATCTCTCCCTCTTCATTCATAATTTTATGAATTTGGGCTTTCTCTCTTTTCTTTTGGATTAGTGTGGCCAATGGTTTATCGATCTTATTGATTCTTTCAAAAAACCAGCTTCTAGTTTCATTGATACGTTCTACTGTATCTCTGGTTTCTACCTCATTGATCTCAGCTCTAATCTTGATGATTTCCCTTCTTATGTGTGGAGTTGGTTTGATTTGTTGTTGATTCTCCAGTTCTTTAAGGTGTAGAGACAGCTGCTGTGTTCTGGATTTTTCAATTTTTTTTGAGGGAGGCTTGGATGGCTATGTATTTCCCCCTTAGGACTGCCTTTGCTGTATCCCATAGGTTTTGGACCGAAGTGTCTTCATTCTCATTGGTTTCCATGAATTGTTTCAGTTCTTCTTTGATCTCCTGGTTGATCCAAGCATTCTTAAGCAAGGTGGTCTTTAGCTTCCAGGTGTTTGAGTTCCTTCTGAACTTTTCCTTGTGACTGAGCTCCAGTTTCAAAGCATTGTGATGAGAATATGCAGGGAATAATCTCAGTCTTTTGGTATCGGTTGAGTCCTGATTTGTGACCCAGTATGTGGTCTATTCTTGAGAAGGTTCCATGTGCACTTGAGAAGAATGAGTATTCTGTTGTTTTAGGGTGGAACGTTCTGTATATATCTATGAGGTCCATCTGGTCCAATGTGTCATTCAATGCTCTTGTTTCTTTATTGATTTTCTGCTTCGATGATCTGTCTATTTCTGAGAGAGGTGTGTTAAGATCTCCTACTATTAATGTATTTATATCAATATGACTCTTTATCTTGATTAACAGTTTTCTTATGTGATTGGCTGTTCCCATATTGGGGGCATAGATATTTACAATTGTTAGATCATCTTGTGGATAGTCCCTTTAAGAATTATGTAGTGTCCTTCTGTATCTCTGACTACAGTCTTTAGTTTAAAATCTAATTCATCTGATATGAGAATCGCTACCCCAGCCTTCTTTTGAGGCCCATTGGCATGAAAGATGCTTCTCCATCCCTTCACTTTCAGTCTGGGTGTATCTTTAGGTTCAAAATGGGTCTCTTGTAGACAGCATATGGATGGGTCCTGTCGTTTTATCCAATCTGCATCCCTGTGCCATTTTATGGGTGCATTTAGGCCATTCACATTGAGAGTGATTATTGATAGATACGTTTTTATTGACATCGTGTTACCTTTGAAGTCTTTCTTTCTGTAGATTGTCTCTATATTTCTGTTCAATGCTATTCTTAGGATTTTTCCTCTTTTATAGAACCCCCCCCCTTAATATTTCCTGCAGTGTTGGCTTGGTGGTTGCATAGTCTTTTAAGCCTTGCTGGTCTTGGAAACTCTTTATCTCTCTATCCATTTTGAATGTCAGTCTTGCTGGATAAAGTATTCTTGGCTGCATGTTCTTCTCATTTAGTGCCCTGAATATATCTTGCCAGCACTTTCTGGCTTGCCAGGTCTCTGTGGACAGGTCTGACTTTATTCTGATGGGTTTTCTGCTGTAAGTAAGGAGCCTCTTTGTCCTAGCGGCTTTCAAGAGATTGTACCTACAATTATGATTCCTCAATTTGACTATCAGGTGTCTTGATGTTTTTATGGAATCTATAATCTTGGGTGGAGACCATTCGGCCTCGAGTACATGAATGCTGGTTCCATTCGCGAGATTGGGAAAATTTTCATGAAGAACTTGTTCCAGTATATCTTCTAGATTTCTTTCTTTCTGCCCCCATTCAGGAATTCCAAGAATTCTGATGTTGGAATGTTTCATGGCATCATTTATTTCCCTGATTCTGTTTTCATGGTTTCTAAGCTGTTTGTTCCAGGCTTCCTCTTGATCCTTTCTCTCTATCTGTTTGTCCTCCAGATCACTAATTCTATCTTCTGTCTCAGTTACCCTAGCTTTGAGAGAATTTAGATTAGATTGGAACTCATTGGGAGCATTGTGAACCTCAGCCCTGGTAGCTTTTAGCTCTGCCCTAACATTGTGAACATCCTGTCTGGTCGCTTTCAGCTCGGCCCTAATCAATTCCATTTGGTCATCCATGGCTTTCTCCAACCTAGCTATTGCCTGGATAATTGTTAGCCTGAATTCTCTTTCCGACATATTGTCTATGTTGATAGCCATTAACTCTGTTGCAGAAGGTCCATCCTCTGTATTTTTCTTCTGTTGGGCATTCCTCCTCCTAGTCATTTTGGTGAGAGAAGACTGAACAGATGTAGCTGGTTGTAGCGACCGTGGTGTAGTCTGGGTGCACCCTGGAACACTTCTGAGCAATCAGGATTCCCCACCCAAATGAGAGAAAAAAGAAAAGAAAAAGAAAAAAAGAGAGAGAGAGAGACAGGAAAGAAAGGGAAGATGACAGAGAAGGTTCAGCCCAAATGGGCCCCAAGGTAAGATTTATGAGGTATACAAACAAAAACAGACAAACAAAAAGACTGATAAAAGTATATAACAAAAGAAAAAAAAAATATATATGCAAATAAAGGAAGAACCTTGTCGAAAAGAACCCCAAGTGTAAGATTATATACTACCAGGACAAACAAACACAGAAACACTGGTGGAAGAAAAAGATGGGAGAGTGGTTATTCTTAGGGTATTTCTAATATCTTTTAATTAAGGCTCACAAGGGTTTGTATGATGCGATACTGAGAAAATCAATCATTCTCAGGTATTCCTTTGCCTAGAAGCCTTGCATTGGATTGTAAGGCCTGAATACCACCTTCTTGAAATAATATCTACCGCTATGAACTTGCATTTTAGCCCAGGTTCCCCTAAAGTAAAGCCTGAAACAAAGGCCACTGTGAGAGTCAGTTATTTGGTGATGTGTTTCTAATTATCAGGAATAGTGATTGGGGTGATTGGGTTCTATGTGTTGAGTGTCTGTATCCCCAAAATTCATATGTTGAAGTCTAATCCCCAGTGTGTTGATATTGTGAAGTAGGGGGTTGGGGAGGTGATTGGGTTTTAGAGTAGAGCCTTTATGCATGGGATTAGTACCCTTGAAGAGGAGACAATAGAGAGCATCACTAGAGAGCTTGTGGGCTTGTACACACACTCTCTCTTCTGTGTGCTAACACAATGAGAAGGCAGCTGTCTACAGACCAGGAAGCGGGCTTCTACTAGAAACCAGATGGGCTAGCACCCTGCTCTGGACTTACCACCCTCTGGAACTATGAGATGTTAATATTGTTTAAGCCATCACTCCAGAGTATTTTTGTTAGAGCAGACCAAACTGAGACACTGGGGGAGGGGGAAGAGAAATAAGAGGATATGTCATCAAATTGACCACCATTACAGGAAACTGTTGTTCAATATTGCAGGACATTTTTTTTTTCATAAAATATACTGATACTTCATTTTATTCCCTATACTATATTTTTTTTTGTTCATTCCTCCTTTTAGTTCACCACAGGCCACCTGTTGCAGGACATTTTGAGAAGCCATGTGAAGTTGTCTTAGAAGTGCACACTTGGAGGGAATAAAGAGGGAACACATTTATAACCAGCTCCAGTCCCCTTTGGTCAAGAGCTATCCCAAGGAGTATCATTTCACCTATACTCCTGTGTTATACGTGTGTGAACACCAAGTACCAGAGCTGGACCTGCACAAGTGGATTGAAGCCTGCGTAGAACTGGTTGCCACCAAGAGGATCTGCAATGTTGCACATGAATTGTCCAATACACATTCCTTCAGAATTTAAATCAACCCCTGCTCCTATGTCCTTTCTTCCCAACTGCTTCATCCTCTGTCTGCTTTTAAAACTTTTTTTTAATTTAAATTCAATTTAATTAACATATACATTATTATTAGCTTCAGAGGTAACATTCAGTGATTCAGTAGTTGCATCCAGCATCCAGTGCTCTTTACATCACATGTCCTCCTTAATTCCTGTCACCCAGTTACCCCATACCCCCCACCTCCCCTTTATCAAACCCTCAGTTTGTTTCCTAGGGTTAAGAGTCTCTTACAGTTCACCTCCTTGCTTTTGTCTTATTTTATTTTTCCTTCTCTTTTCCTATGTTCATCTCTTTTGTTTCTTAAATTCCACATATGAGTGAAATCATATGGTATTTGTCTTTTTCTGATGGATTTATCTTGCTTAGCACAATACCCTCTGGGTCTATCCATGTGGTTGCAAATGGCAAGCTTTCATTCTTTTGATGGTTGAGTAATATTCTGTTGTGTTTTTTTGGACATTTGCCACTTCTTCTTTAACCATTCATCATTTGATGGACATCTGGGCTTTTTCCATATTTTGGCTGTTGTAGACATTGCTGCCATAGACATTAGGGGGCTTGTTTCCCTTTAAATCACTATGTTTGTGTCCTTTGGATAAATACCTATTAATGCAATTGCTGGGTCATAGGATAGTTCTATTTTTAACTTCTCGAGGAACCTCCATGCTGTTTTCCAGAGTGGCTGCACCAGCTTGCATTCCCACCAACAGTGTAGGAGGGTTCCCCTTTGCCCGCATCCTCACCAACATCTGTTGTTTCCTGAATTGTCAATTTTAGCCATTCTGTCTGGTGTGAGGTGTGGTAGCTCATTATGGTTTTGATTTATATTTCCCTGATGCCAGGGTATGTTGAGCATTTGTTCATATGTCTGTCTGCTCATGTCTTCTGTCCATTTCTTGACCCTGAAAACACTGTCTGCTTTTTAAACACACACTGGTCACTTGAACACCTGTGACTTTACTATGTGAGTTACTTTTTCACAGGCTTATGTCCTGGTGCTAGAGTGGTCACGGACACTCTGAAGTCTGTGTGCCTGAGATCCTAGGCCTTCTCTATGCCTCAATTCTCCTCCTATCAATAATGGCATTGGATTATCCCAGGGCTACAAACTCAAATGTCAATAAGGACCAAATAGGAAATCATGACTAAAGCAGGCCAGGTTTGTTTCAAAGTGATGTCTGTCTCAGTCATATTCTTTCCACAAAAACTTACTCTGTTGGGATGTTAAATAAATAGAAATTTCCCTCACATCTGAATGTAAATCAGCTCTCATCTTCTTTGAAAAAAAAAAATGAGCTTTCCCAGTTAATCTTTTATTCTACTTTTGACAGAAGCATGCTAATAGTAAATATTTCAGCACAGTTTCAATGGTAAGCAACAGGTCTCCTTCAGTGCTGATGCTGAGGCTCCAGAGGGACTGAGGACCCTAGTGAGTCCTTGAAGGGGCAGCTGAACTGATTATTGTCACTGGACCCAGGGTTATCAGGATCTTCACATTCTTTATGACAAGGCTGGAAATATAGGCTTTAATATGTAATTTCCCGCTTCTTAAATGTTAGTTTCTCCTTCAAATTAATCATAAAGACTATGTGCATCAAACAAAGCTCATTTGGGCTTATTTTGATTTCCAAGCTATTGGTTTGCCAAACTGGAAAAACGAAATTCCCAGAAACCTCTCTAGAGTAAATATGCTGTAGTTCGTACTCTGCCAAGAATCTCCGTTCCTACACCCTCACTTCCTGATCCATGATTCGGCAGTCTCATAAATCCTTGTCCAGAACCCTGACTCTATTACCGTCTTAGCTCTGTCACTTTGGACCTTATCCCCAGCCTGTAAGCAGTCTCACTGCCAGATCAGTTACTCAGCCTTAAGTTCTAAGAGACCCCGAGATTCAAAAGGAACTGGTCATGAAATGAGACATCATTCTTCTACCTAAGAATTATAACTTTGAGCCAAAAGGAAAATGCATTAGAAACTATGAAAGGTCATGTGTATTGCACTAATAGTAGGATATGTTATTATAATGCCAGAATCAATTGTATTGTCTGGTGAGGAACCATGGGCCACTAGAGGGGCAGAACTCTAATCTGCTCCCAACAATCTTCTCACTCTTGCCTCTGGGCCACCTGTGTCTGGCAATTTATCTGAAGGCCATTCCACTAGGTACATTGGGAGGACTGTAACATGCTGACACTGTGAATACCCCACCTGCATTTATAGTTGTGTGGAGGGGTAAATTTTCTTCTCATTTTAAATATTTCATTTATCAGGTATAACATACCTGATAAATATTTTATTTCAGATGAAGTAGTGATGGAACTAAAAATACTGTTTCCTCGTTTCTTTTTATTTTTGAAGAGAACCATCTTAATGATTATAAAACAGGACATGTTACTTCTTTGCCTCTGCTGCTGGAGGATGGGTCATGGAGGTTCTCCATTGTAAATAGATCACTAATGATAACAGCAATAATTATAAAGCAGTTAACATTTATGGAATGTGATCATATTCCTGGCACCAAGCTAAGTGCTTAACATGTATCATTTCACTTTATCTTCCGAATAACCCTAGAGATAAGCACTATTATTGTTCTTATTCAGAAAACTGAATCTTGGAGAGATGGTGAACTTCCTAGGATCATATAGTCACTTAGTGAATCATGCTATACCATGCTATACCTACCATTCCCTTTCCACAAATAAAAGGAATACTAGGTAGAAAGTTTTACTCAGAATACAGAACATACAGAATATATAGCAACACCAGAAATACATTCATTGATGACATTTATTGCTTTGTGACAGAGCCGTGTAAATAACTAGTTATTACCATTTTCCCTGGACATGTTGTTCTGGAAGGCTATGAGACTAGTCTTTTCCATAGCAGCCTTTACAGATAGAATAGTTAGTATAATAGCTAACTGGGGAGTTTTAGATCAGCTACACCTAGAATTGAGGCATGTAGGGGGCTGGCTTCAAGGCAGTCTCTCATTCTGAATCTCTACAATGCTTTGTTCTAGTAATTATGGGAGTCTCTTCCCTGAAAGTCTTTTCTCAACTTTTTATAAGTAATACTATAAAAACATGAGTTCTAAAACAACACAAGTTAGTAGAAGAGAATTTACTGCAAAATGAGAGGCCTTCACACTAGTAAATATATAAACATATTCACCTATTAATCTACCCATCCAACCACCCATCCTTCCATTCACACCACAAATGAAAATTTTCTACTCTTTTGCTATGTGTATAGCATTGTACTTGTACTGTATTCATCCCATGCCTCATTTATCTTGTTTTTGATGTCACATTCTACTCTACATTTCTCCTTGTGTCCTGAAACTTGGCACTGGGCTGGACCTGTGCCTTCAGTGGGATTTGGATTCCAACTATGTCCATATAGAACAGATCTAACAAGCTATCCAATACTAAGTTGTTCTTTTCAGTCCAGTCCTGCTCTCAGCTCTAACATATCCTGTGGGGCTTGGGGTAACCTCAGAGGCAGTGTAATACAGAGGTTGCATGACTGAGCTCTAGTCCAATCAGATGGTGTTCAAATTCCACTCGGTTCCTAGCTGTGTGATCTTGGATTTGGCCCTTAGCTTCTCTGAATCTCAGTGTTCTTATTTGAAAAAGTGGGATAAAAATCTCATAGAATTCTTTGGAGGGTTAAATAAGATTACACATGTAAAACCTCTAGCATATACCTAACACATGTTATGCATACAAGAAATGAATTGTGAGGTGGGTTTTGTTGTTTGGTTTTTTTTGCCATTCTTTTTTCTGTTGCAGTTACTATCATGTACTTAGACTGAAATTTTGAATCTAATGTTATTTTGACTATGTCCAATTTACTTTGCCCATTTTTCTTTCAAGGCATTTGCACAACCTTCCAGCATGAGATCCTCTCAAGAACTCTTTTACAGAGACTGAGAAGATAATTAATCCTTATTTATACATGGAGAATCACCCAACGAAAAAGACCAGGATCTCTACAAAAAAAGCCTGGTGTCTTCCCCTGCATCCAACACTGTCTTCCCAGTTGTGCAGCTGAAAATAGGGAGGGGACAAGTATTGCAAGGGACTGTCATACTAGGTTAGTTTGTAGCTTGCAGTTCCAAGTTTTGGTAAGTCATCTTGGTGGCAAATATTCCTCCTTTCAATCTACGACACAGTAAGGAAGTTCTTGGTTGGTGGATGAAAGAAATAACCATGGAGAGGTTGACATTACCCTGAATACCATGGATTACAGATACTCTAACACCTCTTGACTCATGATACATCCCCAACCATGCACTTGCCTGCATAAAAAACCATAATGGATCATCACTGCATTTTGCCCACCCCCAAATTTTCCTAGATAGTATTCAGGAATCTCATTCTTTGATTCCACTGTCTCCACTGGTTTTAAACCCTGCTTAAAGTCATCCATCTGACCAGCCAAACTTTTCCAGCACATACTGTTAATCAGGTCTCAGAACCATTCTTTATAGTGTTTCTCACGTCCAGGATCCCCTCCTTCCTCTCTTACCTTTCCACTGTTCAGATTTGTACATCCCTCATGTTAAACTGAATTAGAAGTATATAGACATACTTAGCAGAGTGGTGCATCATCCTAGCTTCAATAACTTTTATTCTCCTTTATTTTTCCTTAAGTTCTGTCTCTTTTATTTTTTCTTAAGTTCTGTCTCCTCTTTGTCAGACAAATCCAGCCTATGTGAACCCTTCCTTCCTAGGACTTGAACAAGGAAACTATTTCAAGTGTGTGTTGTAGGTAAAAAAATTTGGTGGCAGTTTTTTCTTTGGTGCTGCCACAAGGTTGGTCCTAGGAATTCTTGCCTAAACATAGCACAACTACTCAACTGCTCCCTCGACCTCCAGTCTCTACTTTGTCCCTCAGTCCTTCCTTTTCACTGCCTCCAAAGCTACTCTGCTTCAGTGAGAACAAGGCCCCATTTCCTTCCTAACTGGAGAACTTTCTATGGCTTTACACTGCAGACAAGATGAAACCTAAACATCCTAGTCCAACTTTTAGGGTCTGCCAGTGCCTGGCCCTAATCCATCTTTCCAGCTTTCTTTAGAAATGGACCATTTGCACCTTGTGCTAGAATCTTGCTGGAATATGCAATGGTTTCTGAACAGCTACACTGATCTTTACCATCTCTTCCATTTTTATTTGTGTTATTATGTGAATATCACTGCATAACCCTTTCCCCTTATCTCAATCATATCCACATTCAATGGACTTCAAGTAAATTTCATTTTCTCCATGAATTTTTTTTTTAATCTCAAAATCAGAATTAACACCTTTTTTTGTCCACACGGTATTACACTTTGTACCTCATTATAGCATTTTGCTCATTGGAAACTTCTTTAGGATCTGGGTTATGTTGTATTTCTGTTTGTGTAAACTTACAGCACCTGGTACAGGTCTTGATGAATCTGGGAGGTGGGGTGGGGAGGAAGGACTGTTGAAGGAAGAAAAGCTCTTCAATCATTGCCATTCAGACTGTGAACAGTTAAAAAATGGGAGATGTATGTAGCTACTGATTATATCAGCAAAAGCAACAGGCTACATCAGCCCTTTTATGTCTCCTTAGGGATACGCACTTATTAACTGTGCCCTTCAAAGGAGTGTAAACTTCAGAGTTCTCAGTGAATGTTTACAAGGTACACAGTGGAGCCCAGAGGAGTAACTTAAATTCTTGCTCTTTTTCTCTCACCTGTGCTTCCCCCACTGCCTACTCCACCTTCAACTCCCCATCCTTAGACCTGTAGGGTAGCTGGGGTGGGCAGAAGACATCAATGCCTAATGAATCCAGTATGCAGAATAAGCTGATTTTTTTTTTTTTTTTGCTCTTAATTAGGGCAGATCCAGGATGGAAGTGTTTTGTATTATAAACAATGAGAAAGCCCGTGTAGTCTCAGCTAAGTCTGGTCTTGAAGAAATCGGGCATAAAATGATTAAGAAAAGCCATGGATATGAAAAATGTAACTTCAAATCCAAGCACTGCATGAGGCTCAGCAGGAAAACTCATAGTTGTTGGGGAAATCTACAAAGGCTGGTGTTTAGTACAAGGAATAATGGAGAAATTGAGGATCAAGTATGTAGAGAATGTGTTGTTATATTTACAGCCTGTTATGGTGAATAGTTGGGGGGTCTGTTTTCCAAAAGTATGAGTATGAGCCCTATTTTTTTTTTGTTGTTTTTCTTTCTTGCTGGGTACTGCTTGTTCTTCTCATCAGTATGATGAGGACCAAATCCATGCTAGTGAATTCCCTGGAGGCATTTGGTACAATGTGACACTGTAACCTGTAACTTTACCCTCCACCCTAGTCGTCGAATGAACTAAAGGTGAGCACCTGACTCAAGCTAGTTGCAGTCATGATTTATTTAGAATCAAATTCTCCAGGTGATTCATTACAGGACTTGAAGGCCAATAATGGCCAAAAGCTTCAATGTGGCTGCAGGACCAGAGGAAGATATTCTGCAGCAAGAGAAATGTGATAATGATACTCAGAGAAGAAAAACTACCTGGAGCATCCTGGTGTGATTCCGCCTCTTTCCCCAACTTGCCCCATAGCTTGGTCTGCAATAGCAGTGAACACTATCACCCCTCTAGCTCCTTCCTTTAAGTTTAGGCAGGAATTCACAAAAACAACAGCCTCATTCTGTCTTACATTAAGGAAATTACACTGACCAGTAGAAAGTTATGCAGCCATTAAAAAGAATGTTTACAAAAAGTTTCTGATAATCTGGAGAAATACTTATGTTAGAATGTCAAGTGGAAAAGAGACCAAAAAATGTGTATATATAGTATCAGCTTTACCACATTGAAACTTCCGTAAAATTATGAGTAAAAATGCATAGAAAAATAATCCCCCAAATATCAACAGTGGCGGTCTCTCTGTTATTTTGTACTTTCTTATATTTTCAAATACTTGTTCTAATAAGAATGTTTTTATAATAGAAAGTCCAGTTTTATTTGAAAACATATTTCTGAATTGCCTAGCTTTATGCATTGTTAGCTAAGCTTGGAATTTAAAACAAAATCAACCAGAAGATTACAGAATGCTAATGTTGTAAGAAATCTTAGAAATTCTTTAGTCCAGGGTTTTAAGATATTTCTTTGGGGTCATAGATAACTTGAGAATCTGATAGAAAATTTGATTTTTCTTATAAAAATAAATCTCTTAGGAGGCTTTAGTTGCAAGCTATGGAAAACCCTATGACACAGGTTTAAACTGTTAAATAAATTTGTTGAATCCAGTAACCAAAAGCCCAGGAGTATCTAGCTTCAGGTAAGGTTTGGTCTAGTAACTCAACAATGTGATGGAAGACTGTGTATTTTTTCTGTTTCTGCTCTTCCTTTCCCAGATTCAACCCCATCCTAAGGCTGATTTATCTTGGGGTCTCAGGATAGTTGTTATAAGTTCCTGGGTTTTCACATATAGTCTTATATCCCCAGCAGAAAAGAAAGTCTTTGCCTCAGCATTCCCAGCAAATAATCTGTGATTCTCAAACTGATTGGTCAAATTTACATGCCCATCTCTGTGTTAGTCACTGTGGCGGGGATAATTGAATGTGCTCACGGGCTTAGCCCAGGTGATGAGTTCCACCCAGTCTTCCCTATACCATATTCAACCCCCAATAGAAATGAGACTTAATGTAATAGTGTTCCCAGTTCATGCTGCCCTTGGATCTAAGGCTTGATTTTGTCTATATTCTAAGGACAACAGAAAGGTGCAGAGATTTGTAATCTTTCTAAATCACTTCCAGTGACACCCAGGTGGATGGATGAATGGAGTACTCAAAGTTTAGTGAAATGGTTTTGGTGGATGTGAAAAATGAGCATTTCTGAAGGTTAAGGGCAGTCGAAACCCAAACAAGAAAACTCACCTCTGATGTTCTAGCTCCTAAACCCATTTATCTAGATGAAACTCTGACTTGTCCTCAAGTCTACTCTATTGTTTGTCAATAAATTCACAAGTACATCTCCCGAAGATACAGGTTTTCTTCTTTTTCCAATTAGGTGCAAGTAACAACAAACATAGAAATGATGGTGATGAAGATACTGATGATGATGATGACAAGTTTATTAGTTTGAGCTGTTTTTTGCTATAGTAATAAAAGCCCTGCCCAAACTAGCTGAAGAACAAAAACAGGTATACTGGGGCGCCTGGGTGGCTCAGTGGGTTAAGCCGATGCCTTCGGCTCAGGTCATGATCTCAGGGTCCTGGGATCGAGCCCCGCATCGGGCTCCTTGCTCAGTGGGGAGCCTGCTTCTCTCTCTGCCTCTGCCTGCCCCTCTGCCTGCTTGTGCTCTCTCTCTCTCTCTCTTTCTCTCTCTCTGTCAAATAAATAAATAAATAAAATCTTTAAAAAAAAAAAAAAAAACAGGTATACTGACTCACTTCTCCAGCAAGTCCAGTAACGGCTGGAACCAGGTTTCTGCATCTTCTGCGCTTAAATGATTCCATCTGCAGGCAAGGCATGATCATCATTCTTAAGTCATGCATAGTGATTCTAGCTTGCATAACTCTATAAATGGTGGAACGGTTTGCAGAGCTAGCGAACCAGGTTTGGGAGATGATCATGGATTTGGGTGTGGACTTGTTGACTTAGCAATACTTTAGAGACCTCAGGGAAGGTACAGGTCTTCTCTAAGAAAGGGTATCTAAGCTGAGTTTTGAAGGATGAGATGAGCAACTGCAGAAGTGGCTTGGGAAAGAGGAGAAAGAATTCTGGGTAAAGGCCTTGATCGGGGTAGGTATTGAGGACATCTTAGGAACTGAAAGAAAACCTGTGTGGCTAGGGTAGTAAACAAGGGACAGAGTGGCACAAGTTGATGTGGGGGGGGCACCTAGAACCTAGCTTATACAGAGATATTTAGGACTTCATATCCCAGTTTTCAATCCTTAGAGAAAGAGAGTCTCTTCTCTGGGAATGTAGATAGAGAGGATGACTACAACTGGACCCATTTAGGATACATCATCATGCTGTCTGGTGGCAGGGGAATGAGACCCATTAATTGACTTTCTCTAGAATTTGCTATTCATCCGGATGTGGGATGATGGTGAGGAATTGATCAATAGTTGGTTTCTCTACATAAAAGACTAATTTCATTATTTTTTTTTAAAGGCTAAGCCATGTGGGGCAGTCAAAACAAACATGCAAATTAAACCTCAAAGAATGTTTTCTGCATTGATCGTATTTACAACTACAACAGTTAATAACCATGCATTGCATTTTATTGGTTGTTAATAGTGTGTCGGAAACTATGATGAGCACTTATATTATCTAATTTAAAACTCACAGTGACCATTTGAGTTAACTGTTACTATTATTCTTCATTTTATAGAAGAGGAGACTAAGGTCCAAAGAGGTTAATTAGCTTCCTGAAGCCTCAGAGCTGGTAAACAGCAGTGCAGAACTACCATGCAGGTTTAGTCTTCCCACTGGAGTGGCAAGCTCTTTAAACTATGGAACTGGTTCTTAGCAGGATTCCCAAATCTCTCCAGCTTAACTTCAAGCAAGATCTCCATGACAACTGCAGTGCTAGAGTGTGGAGGCAGTAAAACATGTTGCTCAGATCTCTGACTGTCCCAGTTGCCATGCTTTGAAACATATCACTGTTCTGGTGCTAATGCCATACTTCCCTTAGACTGCTCCCAGCTGATGACTGGGCATGGCAAAGACAATAAGACAGGCCCATTCCTGGGAGACATGGGACTTCTCTGATGGGCAAATTTTGTTCAAGGACTCCTTATCAGCTTTGCCTAACTTTCTTGGACTTGAAATGCAGTTTAAGACTCTTCCATTCAAACAACATTGGTTCATTCCTTCGTTCCTTCGTTCCTTCCTTCCCTGGTTCATATGGGACAGAACTGCATGCACTCTGATGGCTCTCCCAGCCACCTTTTTCTACACAGGTATTTTTCTTAATTAATCTCTTAATCTATTTTAATTAGTTCTGATTTATTGTGTTAGTTTCCTAGAGTTGCCCTACCAAAGTCCCAACTGGATGGCTTAAACAACATAAGTTTATATTGTATCACATTTCTAGAGGTTAGACATACGAGATCAGGGGTGCCTGGGTGGCTCAGTCATTAAGGGTCTGCCTTCGGCTCAGGTCATGATCTCAGGGTCCTGGGATCGAGTCCCACATCAGGTTCCCTGCTCAGCCAGGGAACTCCCTCTCCCACTCCCCTTGCTTGTGTTCTTTCTCTCTCTGTTAAATAAATAAATAAAATCTTTAAAAAAAAAAAAGAAATACAAGATCAAGGTTTTGGCAGGGTTGTTTCCGTCTAAGGGCTGTAAGGGAAGATCTGTTCTAGTCTTTTCTCCTGGCTTCCAGTAGCTCAGGTATTCCTTGAATTGTAGATGATCTTCTCCCTGTGTATTTACGCATCTTCTTTTTGTATATGTCTGTCTTTGTGCCCCAATTACCCCTTTTTATAAGGACACAGTCTTAGTGGATTAGGGTTCACCCTAATGACCTCATCTTAATTTGATTGTCTGCAAAGATTCTAGCTCTGAAAGAGATTACATTCGCAGGTATTAGGGGTTAGGACTTTATCATTTTTTTGAGTGGAGGGATCACAATTCAGCCCACAGCATGCATTTGAGTGTGTCATTCTTGGAGGACCTGGGCTAACATCCAAGGGAATTCAGGAATTTCAGTAAGTCTGTTTACATTTAAAACCCACATCACTTCTAGAGCTACCATTGGCCTAGGTGTATTTTTGAGGATGGAATATCCTGTATTCTTTAAACCATAAAAGTGCTAGACATATTTAAATTAATCTAATGGAACATAATTATACTAATTAGATGCATTTAAACATTTCATCAGAAATACCCCACAATATTAATTTAAAGCTTAACTATTTTAAGGTAGGCCAGAGATAGGATCATTTTCCTTTAAATTTTCCTTTTTTTGAATAGTAGGGAGAGTTTATTTGTTTTAGTTTTACTTTTGCACAAACTGTGTTCTATAGAGTACAAGCTCTCTGTGAGATATAATAGATATTAAAAAGGAGGGGTGTCAGATTTGTTTAGGAAATAGAATAAACTGGGGATTCATTCACTCATTTAACAAACATTTACTGGGCATCTGTCTGTGTCAGGGATTGTGCTGACTAGTGAGGATAGTCATTACTACTGAATAAGGTAGGGTCCTTATCTTTCTGGACCTTATGTCCTCATGTCTTCCAGGGCCTTTTATTTAGAAAAGGCCCAATAATCAAGTAAGTGAACAATGAACAAAATAAAAGAGGCAACAGGATAAAGAGAGCTGGGATTTGTCATCTGGGTTTCAGATGGGGTTATGGGAAAGGCTTTCTGGGAAAGCCAGTATTTTAGCTGAGACCTGAGTGGTGGGAAAGAGAGCTGTGTAAGTAACTGGGCAAGTACGGGGAGCAGCAATTGCAAAGAAAGACTGAGGCAGCAAGGAGGTTGGCTGATTGGAAGAAGTAAAGTTGGGAAAGTGTGGTTGTGGACAGGAATTGAAGATGAGAGCAGTGGTTTGGGTTTGGGAAGGTCTGCAGAAACCAGATCACGGTGGGTCTGGTAGGCAATGCTGAAGAGTTAGCATTTTATTTTAAATGCAGTGCATATTGGCACATCGAAGGCTCTTAGGAGTCCTGGAATAGGGTAGCCTGTTTGACAGCTATGTCCAAGTTTCCAAAATGTGTATGACCAGATTGCTCTGCTCATAAGTGATATCTGATGGAACATTTGTGTCCCCTGGTAGGCAGACTCAGAGATGCTGATTTAAAGTGGTTGCTACTTTAGGAACACAAATGTTCCATGAAAGTACGTCATTGGGGCACTAGTTGCTGTAATAAAGGTGAAATTCAAAAATATAGGAAAGGATGTTTAGGATATTTTCTGAACTTAAGTTGCCTGAGTTCGTATCCTAATTCCACTATTGAGTAATAATTATACCCTTGTGGGTGAGATACTTTTGTCTGTGCCTCAGTTTTCTCACTGTAAAATGGAGGATAATATTAGTTATTTCACATGGGTGTCAGGATTAATTGTAAAATTACATGTAAAGTGGTTTGAATGTGGTAAGTGCTCCATAAATATTATTTTTATTATTAATAGCCTAAATGTGTCAGTATTTTTTCCCCAGAATGTCAAGCTTTATTTCCTGATGTTAATGAGCTCGTGCTTAAAAGATAAGATAGCCTAGGGAAATTTTCCTTTTTTATTAAGTCAACTCACTAAAACAAACACATGTATAGACATCTTTAACAAAATAATGGCAGGTCTCATTTACATTCCACAGTAAAATAAATAAATGCCATTTGATTATCAACTTCTACATTTCCTGCCTCTGTTTTCCTTCCTTTTGCAAAACTACCAAATACAAAACATAACCAAGTTAGGAAATTGTGTGCTCATTCAGCACTCATGTGCAGATGAGTACTGAAGTGTCAGTACCCAGGCATGGATCCCAGTGTTTCTCTTGAAAGGAGTTTGTGAAGCCCTAAAAGTTTCTTCATCCCATTTTTAGCAACAGACATGCTCTCTTCATTGGTCACTTGTCAAGGATGCCAAGAACTTCTGAGTTCTGCATTCTATGCAGGTTGGCTGCTTTGACCTAAATGAGCCTCACTCAAGAGCGAGGAGGACCCACCCGGGTGGGTAGCTTGGGGAGAAAACTGAGTACATGAAACAATCAGAAAACCAGTCAATTAATCATGATTTCCCTACTTTCAAACAGGAACTGAGAATTGTTGACATAATTTTGGTCCATTAAATTTTTTTTTTTAAACTTGCCTTGCTTAAATGGATTTAATGTGGTTTTTTTCTCCTGACACTTATCAGCTTGGGAAAAAAAGGAAACTTAATTGCAACATTTATGTATAATTGCTGGGTGATGAATGCTTGAGGAATTTTTACTTTGCAGACATACCAAAACAAAAAATCATGCCACAATCAACATCTCTGGGTGAAATGAGAGATCCTCTCCCACATCCTGTGTGTGAGCATTTTGGATTTAATTGCTTCACCACTTCATTTGTCATGCTCTAAAACAGGCCTCCAGAGAGATTCTCTTCAGACAACATGTTCTCATGGCCAAGGGTACAGAGTGAGTGAGTCAAGTGAAAAAAATCCATCTCTAACCCGACTTGTGTGCCACATTAAGGCTTGCATCCTCATCTCAAGGGGATTAGATTTGGGGAGTAACATTAATAACGCATTTGAAATAATTGTGGGCAAATCCCAGAAATTTGAGATAATTGAGTGCTTCCTAGGGTAGCAAAGACTTCAGGTATTAATTGATTCCTAAAGAAGGAATTTTAATAGAGCTGAAATACTATCGAACAAAAAATACCATGTATTTTCAGTCAGCATTTATGATCAGTCATGTCATGGCTGAGAGGATGTAAGTAAGGCAGGGTCTAGAGTGCTGGTCCACTGGTCTCGCATAGTTTGCATTTGCATTTGGCTTGGCTATTATACACGTGTAATATTTTAGAAATCATGGTAACTGGGCAAGTGTTACTTTCAATTATACACCTTCATCTTGTCATCTTACATCCTGCACTTCTTGGGTTCCCTGCAGGCATCTGAGTTTGCACCAGTTAAATACATAAACCACAAATTGATGGAAAGAAGATGGGATTAAACTAGATGACATTTTAAACAACTTCCTTGGCACTCTATGTTCTGAAAACTTGGAAGGGATAAGTGTAAACTGGGACAGCAAGGAAGACTTGGCAGAGTAGGTAGGTAGACCTGACATAGATGCTAAAAAGGAGGCAGTATTGGGACAGGTGCATGTAGAACAGCCAGGGTGGCAGTAGCTGGTGGCCTGAGCACAGAGTGGCTCTGCAGGAGGGTATGAGGGCATGTGGACTACATGGAAGGAAGTTGAGATGATTACATTTGAACTAGACTTGGGGATACCTTCAAGGTCAAAAAGGTTCCAGGACCACATAGTAATAACGAATAGAGCCAAGACCAGACCTGAGAGCTTTCTTTGACATTGGTCTTGGTTGTATACCACTCTGCTTTTGTAGCACTAAAAGGTATTAAGTTTCAAGTTAGGAAGCCCAACAAATAACATTAGCACCAATTTTAGACCCAGGTTCTTGAAAAATACAGCAGGTATATGTAAATATACATGTGCATGGTTTCTAATTATCTGTCTCTTTTTACTAACATGGCAGATGATTTTCTTAAAGGTTAGGATAAGTTACATTTATTCTTTTCTTTGTCTCTTCACATAGGTCGTTCCTACCCAGGCACATCCATATCACATTATGATGGGAAACAGAAAGAATTATTTATTCTGGGAATCCTTCCCATTTTCTCGATACATCATTTTTATTTCATTGCTTGATTTATGTACTTGTGTAGGTAGAGGGTCCTGGTTATTCATTTCCACATGCCTTTCCTTTTTCTGAGGTTCTGATCCTTCTTCTCCCATTTTATGCATATGAACTAGATTGTGAAAACACCACCAGCAGCTGTGGACTTTTTCTTCCATCTTGTGGCCAACGGCTTGACTTCTGAGTTTCTGTAATGATCAAAGGGCTTAATGGGCATTGTATTAGGATACTTTCCATGGCAAGTGAGAGCACAAACACATTTATACAAAAAATAATTTACTGGCTCACATGACTAATGAGTTCAGGATGTCGCCTTAAGCATGGCTAGCGCTCAGATGGTTTCAGCAGGACTTGGTCTTGCTCCATCTCTTGGCCCTGATTTGCTCCATGTTGGCATCATTCTTAGGCAAGCTCTGCTTACATAGAGGCCAGATGGCTCAGAGCAGCTTTAGGCAGTCATCTTCCCAGCTTTAAGTCAATACAGAATAATTTCTCTTTCTCAGTGACCTATAATTGGGTCCCATCGGTCAGTCCTGGATCACAGTTTTCCGTTAGAGTCAGGAATGTGTTCCACCACCAAGTCACTGAGAGTGAGA